CTGGACAGACTATGGAAGTGGGCAGGAGACAACAGGATGGCGTTCAATGTGGATAAGTGCAAGGTCTTGCACTTGGGGCATAGGAATGGGTGTCATAAGTACAGGTTAGGGGACAAGTAGCTGGAGAGCAGCACTTGTGAAAGGGACCTTGGGGGGCTGGTGGACTGCGGGCTGAACATGAGCCAGCAGTGGGATGTGGTGGCCAAGAGGGCGAGCGCCACCCTTGGTTGCATAGCCAGAAGCGTGGCTTCTAGATCAAGAGAAGTATTACTGCCCCTCTATGCGACTCTGGTGCGCCCGCAACTGGCGTATTGTGCTCAGTTTAGGGCCCCTCATTATCGAAAGGATATAGCCAGGTTGGAGTCAGTGCAGCGCAGGGCCACAAGGTTGGTGGCCGGTTTGCAGGGGATGCCGTATGAGGCGAGACTGAGGGAACGGGGTCTCTCCAGCCTGGAGAAGAGGAGACTCAGAGGGGATCTGTTGGCGACATGCAGGTATGTGAGGGGGTGTCCCATGGAGGTGGGGGGAGACCTGTTCTTCCCTGCAGAGGAAGGCAGGACGCGCTCCAAAGGAGCCAAGCTCAGGGAACCCAGGTTCCATTTGGATGCCAGGAAGCACTTCCTGGCAGTCAGGACCCCGAGGGTGTGGAATGGGCTTCCAGGGAGGTGGCTGAGGCCCCATCGGTGCGGGTGTTCAAGGACAGGCTGGCCATGCACATGGTGGGCATGTTGTGAGCAGAGCCGGCTGGTGCTGGAGGTCAGACTAGATGGCCCAGGAGGCCCCTTCTGACTCACTCTGTTTCTGTGTTTAATGCCCCAAAATGAGAATACGGTCCAGCTCAAGACAGGAGGGCAGTCATTTGACAGGCAGCCGTGGAAGGGACGGGCGTGTGTTTGGTCTGAGCTGTGCAGCTCGTGACACGGAGCGCTCCCCTCAGCTCATCAAGGAGCAGGTGCAGAGAGTTGCGGGTCAGGCACTTCCATCCAAACACTTGCGAGGAGGAGCTGTGGTGTTCTGTTTGCACATTTTCAGTGCTGTGTGTGTGAAGTGGTGAGAGTGTTGGAGTGGGACTTGAGAGTCCAACCTTCGAGTCCCAGTCGGCCATGAAGGGTCTCGCTAACTCTCAAGCACACCTTCCTCACTGGGTTGTTGTGAAGATAACAGAGAGGAGGATTATGCAAACCACCTTACAGCCGGGAAGAAGGACGTGTTTTAAATACATGTGAATAAATAAAGGTGCGTTGTGGCCAAAAATTCCTTCCCGTCCAGCCCTCTTCTGTGGAGCAAAAGGTGGAAATTCTGCACTTTAATACCTTGTGCAAAAGGAGCATATTTCGCTTCCTCTTTTGCACCCAAAAGGTTTGTGCAGCTCTGAAGATCCTGGAGAGCTCAGCTTTCTTCCTTCACAGGGCCTTTTAGGTCTTCTTGGTGTCTTTTTTCTGGCTGGCAAAGGCATAAGCATATATTCATTCAGGCTTTTGGCTGTTATGCAATTACACTTTTTGTTTCGATTTTTAACTGGTTGATGGTGTTTGTTCTAATTTCCTTTTAACGGTTATGTTTTAGTTGATGTGCTTGTGTTTAAATATGTTCCATTTTTTAAAATCATTATGTTGGACTGCTCAGAATACCGATTTTAGGTGAAAGATAGGATGCAGTTATGGAGTTTAACCTGTTTCGGAACAGAATCACTTCTGATCACAAGTGGGGGTTCATGCAGGGGAAAAGTTGCCATCCTGGCGCATAGAAAATCAGCAGGTCTGCGGGGAGGGTGTGATTGGGGGAAGCCCCCCCCCCAAAAGGGATGGTTGCAACTTTTGACTGAGCATGTTGAGGGGCGCCTGTGAAAGAGGGGGGTCTTGCTGCGTTTTGTGCGGTCGCTGCAGCAGAACCAGGCGGTTAAGAGCACCCTCGGAATTGCAGCGACTGTGCCCGTCGGAACACAACAGACCCTTCTTTGGGGTGCATCTTGCAGCCTCTTTGCACAAGTTGGCCGTGTGTGTGTGTGTGTGTGTATGTGTGTGTGTGTTTGCCACAGAAAGATGAGGACACGCTCCGTAAATGCTGGGGGAGGAAGGAACCCCCCCAGTGTGTGCGTGCGCGCGCGCGCAGTGAGGGATCCATCTTGACTGGACGAATTTCCTTCTCCTTGTGCTTAATCGAATATGGAAAGGAGGCCAGTTCCGAACTGAGGACTGCTCTCCCAAATGCGCACTGAAGAAAGGGCACCTTCCCCTTATGAAAGAGCCAGTTACATAATTTATGTAATTTACATAAATTACACACAGTATGTTGTTAGATTAGGTCCGTGTTTACAGCAGTGTATAATCACTTTTAAGAACAGGATTGATCAAAGGAAGGGAACAGACCCAACGGCTGCAGCCATCCGGGGAGCTCTGTTTTAATCAGGATGCCGAGACGCTGAGGTGTGTCCGGAGAAGAGGAGGGGTGTGGGGTCTGCATCCCAAGTCCCACCAGAAAGAACGGAAAGAGCCAGGTGTGCGTAGCTGAGGAGGAGGAGATTAAACGCGTGATGGTTGGTTTTGAAGTACCTGAAAGGCTGCCCTGCGGAAGACGGAGCAGCGCTGTCCTCTGTCGCTCCCAGGGGTAGGACTAGAACCGAGGGGTGGAAAGGTCGGGGGGCAGGTTTAGGTTGCTTGCGAACTGTGGGAGCTGCTCAGCGGTGGAGCAGGTTGTCCCCGGAGGTGGAGGGCTGAAGCTGTGGAATCAGAGGCTAGGCAGCCGTCTGCCACGGATGCTGCAGCCTGCATGCAGCAGGGGTTGGACTAGATGACCTCTGAGGTCCCCTCCAACTTGGGATTTTAGGACTGCAACTGGAAGTGACACGAGAAATCCAAATCTGGCTCTCCCCTGGTTTGAAAAAGAGTTACAGGCGTGCAGCGTATTAGATCAGAAATACGATGTTGTATGAAAGGTGGGTTATTTATTTTTAAAATATTACTAATGCAGCCTAGATTGATAGAGCTCAGGGTGGGTAAATTCAAAACTTTGGCCATTCAGCAGTGGGGAAATCAAGCAAATAAATAAAACTGTTCAACATAAAGCCGCCGCGGTGCACGTCCAGTGCTAGCGATCCAGACAACCAGATCCGAGCAGCCGAAGAGGCCCAAGGGGTCCCACACATGAGCCCAGTGCCAAAACGGAGCCTGCGTCATCGCTAGCCAGGCCTTCGAGGAGAGGCCCTGCCCGGCTTGGGCTGCCACAGCCAAGAGTCCTTCTGTCTCGCCTCCACCTGCCAGAGGTGGAACTCGGTGGGGAGAGAGTCCTTCGTCCCTTCGAGACGTTTGGCCAGCCCCCGTCCCACCGGTTTAGGGCCTGGACTGTCCTCACTAGCACCTCGAACTTGGACCGGTGACACCTTGGCTTTGGGGGTTAACTGCATCCCTCCGGTCCATTTTTCAGAATAAAGCCCTCCCCATTCCCAAGCTGCCGCCTGCCCCATGCCAGAACACCCACGGGCCTTCCTAGCGCGTGAACTGGCGCGGCTTGCGCTGCCAGCAGAGCTGCGCGGTCACGAGGACTGCTAGCTTAAGGCAAAAGCCCTTCACTGCACGTGCAGAAGATCCCCACTTTGACACCCCGCATTTCCTTGGAAAGCCCCTGCTGGGTTTCCGTGTTGGGAAGCTGGTCTGCACGAGCGAGCGGCCGGAGACACGATAAGCAAGGAAGCCTGCTCAGTTGTGAACGTGGTTTTTTGAAGGGGACCCCATAAATAATTTCAGAAAACCAAACCCGCCCTTCAGCCGCTTCTCGCCTGGGGGGTGCGCGTTCTCATGAGCCCCTTTCAGAGGCCTGTGTGTCTAAGGAGCCTGTGGCTCAGGGCTGGAGGGCAGTCCTGGCGCCGGATCAGACCACAGGGGCCCATCCAGACCAGAGTGCTTCGCCCGCGATGGCTGGCCTCTGAGAAGCCCCCATGCGGCGCCTCCTGCCCCACCCCTTCCCCTTTGCGCTCTTGCGCATTGCTGCAGAGCTGGCATAGGGCATCGCAAGACACCCTCCTCTACTTTCTCTTCCACGGGAGCATAAACTGCCCCCCACACAAGATCCTTGGGGTCGGGGTCGGGGTTGGGGTTGGGGTTGGGGTTGGGGTGGGCAGGCAGTAGCTCTCCAGATGTTCCGGCAGCTGCTCCCAGTGCTCCTAACCATTTCCCAGAGGCTCCTGGGAGAGGCTCCAAAACATCTGGAGAACCAGAAGTAAAAAATATCTCTCTCAGTGTTTCTTTAGATCTCTGGTTATGGTTGTCGGACCTTGGAAATGGGGGGGGGTGGGGGGAGAATGAGCAATTAGCCCCGTTCGAGGGGCCAGGCTTTCAGTGCTGCTTTGCTGCTGCGCCTGGAATGACGGCTGGCACGGCAGGGAGTGGCTGGCGCCGCTTGGCACCACCAAGCGGGGCCAGGGGAAGCCTCTCCTGAAGCGGGCATCCCGTCCCCCGGAGGGGGCAGCCCCCAGGAATGCCGTTACCCCATGGAGGCTGGGGTGAGGTTTGCTTTTCAGTTCAGTCCTGCTGTTGGCTGCAGAATCTGTGGAGATCAGCGGACCCGTGGCACAGCTGGGAGCTTGGCTGCGCCGACTGCCTCCCCTGCGCGCCCCTGCCTTGACGTCTCGCTCCTCCTTGACGTCCAACCCCAAGGACTTCTTGAGTGAGGGGCTGCCTGAGCCAGCCGGTTGCCGGAGCTGCAGCGCAGCTGGCCCGTCTTGCATGAACTGGCTTGGCTGGGACCAGTAGGAGCCTCTTCTGGGGGGAGGAGATGGCACAGACCAGCCCCGAACAGGGACGGTCTTTCATATGCAGGGATGTGGACGGCCTTTCGCCATCTTTGCCTCTTCATGGACATGACCCCCTGGAAGGGGAAGAGGGGTCTCCATGGCCTG